ACCCCCCCACCACACACACACACACTGTTCCTTTGGTTCAATACTGGCTATCGCAAGCTAGAATGATGCAACTCCAGTTGGAGCAAAAAAACCGGCTGAATTTTGTCGGGCCACGCCGACCCACCTGAAGACAACATTGTAAGCAGCCCCTTGGGTCACAACCCCCCCCCACACACACACACAGAGTTCCTTTGGTTCAATACTGGCTATCTCACATGCTGGAAAGCAAGCTAGAATGATGCAACCCCAGTTGGAGCAAAAAAAAGCAGTAATGAACCACTAATGATCCAAAATGATATGAATCAAGACGGGAAAAGACTAGGCCATTCGCTATTAGCATGCTGTTCGCTATTCACATGCTGTCATGTTGCTGTTGCAAAGTAGATTGAACTTGACCGTCCCAGCAGGGGTGACAATATTGGGGGGGGGGGCAATCATAATGCAGCCACTTTCTTAGAAAACAGTTCTATTAGCTATGATGAAACTTGCTTCCTCAGTAACGGTTTTCAAGACTGGAGTGTAACTTAAGCAAAGCCATATCCAGTCTGTTCTATCAAACACAACAAATAGTCTTCTGGCAACTTAAAAGACTACGACAGACCTGGACAAAGTGCGGCCCGAGGGCCACATATGGCCCACAAGCCGCTCCTGTCTGGCCCATGGACAGTTTTGAACATCAAAACCATTTATAGCTTTTAATCTAAAGTTGATCAGTTGCTTATCTTTAACATACTGCAAAAAACCTCTTTAGTATTTGTGAAGATTAACAAGTTTAAAATAAAAACAATCATAACATCACTGTTTCATGTTATTTTTAAGTAAAGTTGGTTCAGCCCCCAAACTCAGTTCAGATTTTTCATGTGCCCCCCTATAGAAATTAATTGCCCACCCCTGGACTACGAAGGTCTACTTGACATCAGCTTTGCAGATGCAAAATCGTTTGCCTTTGCACCTTTGGAGGTCATGCTTATTTAGTTGTTTAGTTATTAATTTATTTAATGTCATTGTTTATTAGCATATGAACTGTACATTGTATGTTTAGAATTCTGGAAAAGAAAATTCAGCAACATCAACATTCATTGAACAACCACATTCTAATAAAAATTCTAGCTACAAAAAAAACACAAAGAAAATAATCAGAAACGTTATCTAAATAAAACCAGCTGTTCAAACAGCAGAACATATGTACATGCAACTACAGCTGCTAATTCAGTGATGATTCATCTTTTATTCTCATTCTTTTCAGAAATCTAACTGAAGTCTTATGTCTTCTTTTTCCTATTTATCTCTGTAAAACAGAAGAAATAACAGTTTAAAAACACATCAAAAGCTGTCCCCTCTGCTTTTTTTTACTTGATAAGAAGCCGCATGACAAATTTGTAAGGATGCCATAAGTGCTTTGAAAGTTACTGAATGTTAAGAATATATATAAGACAAAAAAATGCAATTCATCATGTAGAGTAAGTTATAAAATAACAACCTATAAGTTGCCAACACCAACAGAGCGAGAAGAACATTCCATAACTCAGAGGAGAGCTCCCCCTTGTGTTCTGTAGCCAAATTTGAAATAAACAAAAGTAACCCAGAAGCTCAGTCATACACTAAGTCCAGGTTACACTACCAGGTAGCAAACAGCCAATGTGATGACAGCTTTAACTGTTTTAGAAACACCAAGAAAATTCTAAAAACTATTTTTGCTCTATTGTCATTTTTTGTGCCACAGACGTATATTGTTTCTATGTAATCACCACTGGCATGATCCTATTTAAAATGTAGTCCTCTGCATGTTTACTTAGAAATAATCCCTGCTGTGTTCAAAGCAACTTTGTTCATAAAAATATTCAATGGAATTAAATCAACTTGATTTTTCTTTTGCTTGCCAGGATCACACACATCCACACTTATTGGCTTTGTTTTATTTCCTAATAAAAGTGGTACATCACTGAATGAAATACCTTGACACCAACATTTATGTCCATGGAAACATGAGAGCCCATGCAGAATCTGCCATGCACACCAGTCAGGCTATTTACTGAATGCCAAGATTTGGTTTTTGTATAAGAACAATCCTGATTTCAAGCCATATGGATCACATTGTCATTTAACATTATGGCTGTAAATATGAAACAAAATATGCGTAATAAAATTAACAAAGGATCAGGATGGTGAGGTGTCCCTTAGAATCAAATTCCATTGAAATCAGGGAAGCTGCATAGTAAACATGAATTTGCTGACCATTATCTTGTGTGACTAGTCTCAAACTAAGGACAGCAAATCAGTTTCCTTATTCCATGTTGGCCACTATAAGTACCCCTACAGGAGGGGAAAAACTGTGATAATACCCACCACCAGGGTGCTTCTAGCACTAGAGGATGTTTGCCATCTCTTCAAATATTCTTCTTCTTGCATTACAATCATTAACACATTTAGTGTACAAGTATAATTAGTTGCTAATACTAGCAGATGAAGCAATAGTAGAAGAGGAAAAGGCAGCCTTTCAATATGAAGGTGGACAGAGAGGAAAGACACTCATGATAACACAAGGAGGAATGGGATGGAAAACTATTAAGACACAGTTCACAGGTGTCATAATATTGGTCTCTCTTATGATAAAACCAACCCAAAATCTTGTACTGTACCTTAAAAGACTTGCACTTTTCTGATGGCATGTTGTGTGGAAGATTTATATAAGTTTATATCAATTTATATCAGTTGATGTATGAAGTAATTTCCAAAAAAGGAGACATGTTAACCTGCCTCAGCATGTTGCCAAAGGAAAAAAAAGAGAAGAAATAAACAACAAAATATTGTAGCACTTTAAAGACTAACCATTTTATTTCACCATGAGTTTTCATGCTCAAACAGGATGCAAACTTTGATCCACAAAAACTAACACTGAAATAAAATTGTTAGTATTTAAAGTGGTGCAATATTTTGTTGCTTATTTCCTCTTTTTTCTTTTTCTTTTGCTAATAAGATGTATGAAGTATAATCCTAAATTGACAAGTACAGAGATGGAAAAGAACAAAATCAAAGGGAAATAAAATGCAGAAAAGAACAGGGAGTGCCATGACATTAGTACTGTAATCTGATTGTGCTGTATGATAAAAACTACATCACTAATGCATGCTATAGAGACTAATTCTATTGGACTACAATCTCCACCTTGAGACTGATAATTCTTTCAAAAGGATGGCTAGTGCTAACAAACAAAAGGCCTTCTGCAGACAAATTCTTAATAGATGTTCTGAGTATTTTAAAAAATCAAAGAAACGGTCAGAAAACATGGAGTTATAAGCAAAGGATGTGATTATATGGTTGTCCTCTAAAATGATGTGAATGAATCAGGATAACTGAGGAAAAACCTCCCCCAGAAGCCTGGCATTTAAAATACTGTATACAGTCTATTTGTATTTCTTGCTTTTCAGTGTTTAATAAGACTGAAATTGTTGCAGTGACCATAGACAAGCCATTGTTAGTGATAATATATAACCATCCCGGCATGGACAGAGTTCCTACTCCAGTCCTCTGAAGATGCCGGCCACAGAGACTGGCGAAACGTCAGGAAGAACAACCTTCAGAACACCGCCAAGGAGCCCAAAAAACCCACAACAACCATCCTGGCATTGATAATCTAATCAATACATGTCATGTGGTGAAAATCGGGAATACCATCTGATGCTATTAGCAGATCCCAATTCAATTAATCTTGTTCTTGAAACCAATAGTGATTATTTTAATTATTTTAATTGCTTATTGGTTTTATTGTCAAATACTTTTAAATGGGTTTTAAGTCTGCTTTAATTATATTTGACTGCCTTGAATACTTTTTGTTAATGAAAAGGGGGGGAAGGTAAAATAAATAAATGGTCTTTTTGAAGGACTGGTTCTAGGGCCACCAAATTCTACCAAGTTTTCCATGATAAGAATTTTTTTAAAAAAATAAAGATAAAGTAATACATGAGGCAAGTTACAAATGATTTTTGTAGAGGAGATAATCTCGCTCCCTATTTGGACTGTGGAAGAGGAGAGCCGCGCAAAAAAAGAAAGAAGCAGCAGCATCTGTTGAAATACTCACATTGGGGCTACCACATTCAAGCTGCATTTGTACTTTTGTTTTGTTTTGTTTCTAACAATGACTATATAAAGCTAAACCAATTACTGTGAAAACGAACGCGGCACAGTTCCGCTCCTCTTATCAGGAGGTCGTGTGATAAGGAAACGTGCAGGTAACAGGAGAGAGAGGCTAATCCAATCACCCTGCAACCTCCTGCTTGCTTCACAGTCAAAAGGCAGGGCTTTGTAATCCCTTTATCTTTCCTTCCTTTTTTTTTTCAAATGGTGGTAGGAAAAAAGAGATAGAAGAACGGGTGAGAAAGAGCAAAGGAATTTTGCTCCCCTGTCTGGAAAGGCAGCCGGCACGTATCCCGGTGGACACCTTGAATAAAATAATATGAGATAGTTTATATGGTGGATATAGAGCAGGGAATACTTGGTGCAGAGACATAGAAAAACTTAATTTCTCCACATAACATGTGCTTTCTCTTTTCTTTTTGAGATGGAGGAAGACGTGACAATGCTATTAACAAGTCGCAGTTAAAATAAAGTTTAAAAGACGGTATCACCAATAAACCTCCTAATTGTCAATCTTCCATTTTCTTGTGTCTATGTTTTCTTTTATTTTCAAGCCCGAGGTTATTAGGTTGCGGGGGCTTCTTCGGGTTTAGCTGCCTGAGCAATTGCCTGAAATTAATTGACATCTGTCCTGGCACAAGTTTGGCAAGGAAATCAGATGAGGGGAAACTATATGAAGCCGCTGTTTTTTTCTGTTTAAATTTCCCTATTGTTCTGAGCGCGGGTCACGTAAAGAGCAAATACAGGCGTCTGTAAGGCGTGCCTTCTTTTTACGCCAGCCGTTGAAAGGCTTAAAGGGGCCTGCGATTTCGAACACGAAAGCCAGCCAATCAGAGAGGAGCGATGGGGAGGCGCTAGGTTTGAGTTGCCGGGAGGCGGCGGCGACGAGAGAGAGAGAGAGCTACCTGGAGACGAGCGGAGAGTGAGAGGGGCGGGAGCCGTTAACGGAGAGGAGTGGGATGGCCGCCATGGAAGGCCGCCGGAAAGAGCTGACCCAGCTGGCGGTGCAACAGCACCTCCGAGCCGCCTACGGGATCAAGATCAAGACTCGGGCGACGAAAGGGAAGCCGTCGCGACCGGCAGCCGTCGAAACCGGAGGGGTGAGCTCGGCGGGGTTGGGTCGGAGGGCCGGGCGGGAGTCGGCGGGAACTGATTTTGGTAGTTCGTCAATTCTCGGGAGTGGGGGATCGGGGAGAAGCAGACGGCTGTAACAGGCACCCTCCGTCTCCTGCACGGCCTAAGCACCTCTCTGTGGATTCTTCCCTGCCTTGGTGTCTCCCGTCTTCTGGAAGACGAGAGGCTGCCTTGGAAGGTGAACCTGGTTAGAGTGGTTGCCGTGAGAGTCCGTGGCAGCGGGAAGAACCAAAACCTACGACTTGTTTAGTGATACTACCTCAGCCTTCATCGCTTAACACATTTTATCTGGCCTCTGTTTTCGTGGGCTGTAGATTATTTCTTCATCTAATCCCAACCCACCCTCGGACTTTGCGGAGAGACGGAAATATAACAGTAAAAATTAGGCCGAGAAAATGCTCTTAATCGCATGTGGAATGTGCAATTTGTAGGGTGTAGGAAGTTCAGGGGTGTAGTGTACCAGCACTATATCCAAAACAAATCAGGAAGTAAATTCAGTCATTTCGTTGATAGCGCATTGTTGGAAAACACCCTGCCGCAAGTAAAATCATTTATCTGTCTACCTAGCTAGCTGTCATCCATGCCAGTTGATACATGTCTGAGACCTGAGATTTTAAAGATTCATTTACTAATTTTGTTACTCTCTGAAAAAAGACATATCCTTTTTTTCTTTATTAGACCCACTAAAGTATCACAAACAGGCTAGCTTCCAAGTCTTTCAGGACTCATCTTTTTTTAAAAAAGTTATTGTGCATTTTATATGATATGTATTTTCTGATAACATAGGCCCTGTTTACCAGTTAGCCCAGATACATCGATGGTCATCAGTGCAGACAGTGTGTTGGTGGTGGTTTCCCAGCCTTACTTGAAGATAACCAAACCTCTTTCATTTTGTACGCAAAGCATATTGAGAAAGTAAAGATATAATGCCATTGTACAAAACGTTGGTAAGACTGCACCTGGACAGCTCTGGTCGCTGTACCTCAAGAAAGACATAGTGGAAATGGAAAAGGTGCAGAAGAGAGCAACTAAAATGATAGCTGGCCTGGGGCACCTCCCTTATGAGGAAAGGCTACAGCATTTGGGTCTCTTTAGTCTAGAGCAAAGGCTCCTGAGGGTGGCCATGATTGAGATGTATAAAATTATGCAGGAGATGGATCAAGTGGATAGAGGGAAGCTCTTTTCCCTCTCATGCAATACCAGAACCAGGGGACATCCACTCCAATTGAGTGTTGCGAGAGTGAGAACAGACAAAAGATTTCTTGACCCAGCGTGTTGTTAGTCTGTGGAACTCCTTGCCACAGGATGTGATGATGGCTTCTAGCCTAGATGTCTTTAAAAGGGGAATGGACAGATTCCTGAAGGAAAAGTCCATCGCAAGTTACAAGCCATGATGGGGAAGTAGGGGAGGGGTATCAGGAGACAGGTCTCTAGTTGTCTCATGTGCTCCCAGAGGCATCTGATGGGGTCACTGTGAGAAACAGGAAGCTAGATGAGATGTGCCCTTGGCCTAATCCAGCAGGGCTTTTCTTGTGTTCTTATATATCCATTTGGATATATCCATTCCATAGATTTCTGAAAAACATTCATAGGATTGCACTACATTGGTTATTCTTCACTCTTTCATTTTCTACCAATTAGAAACTGATTACAATCACAATGTATAATCTCAGCTGGAGCTGTTGATTGGCTTGGCACTGGTGATTGGATCAGGATAACAATTTATTTTTACAATGCATGTGTTAATTAGATTATCTGGTGTATGTACGTGTTCAGAGAAATTTGTGAATGGCCTGTGTTTATAATGCAATTGTTACTACCAGTTCTGTTTGTATCTAGTTTCTCACCACACTGTTTATGGTCTAATCTTCAATTATAGGTACAGATGTGATTGGGTTCTTCTATCTCTTTGGGCAACCCCTCACCATCTGCAGGAAATAACAAAGGAGATGTTTTTATAACTTTCAGACCTTCCTCTTTATTAACACTAATTTCCTCCATCACATTACTTATGGGGTTGAAGACTCTGGCAACAAGCCGCAACTAACAGAACTAAAACTTTTGCCATAGTCCCATGGACTCAACGGGGAATCCCCCCCACGCCATTCCTTGTAGTCTGGTCTTGGGGGAGGACTAATCCGTAGGGCGCAGATCATCCCACAACACGTGTGCCTAATCCATCCTCTTTCGTCAGGCTTGTCATAAAACCGGTTGTGGGCGATCTCCACTTCTCTGCAACTTGAGCTCAAACAGCACAACTATCACAGTCCATTCTTTCGTCATATAGCATGTGGGTCTTGTCTCTCTGGGCGTAGGTTCTGGCAGCAATCCTCCCACTCTTAGATTAGGGAAGTCTTTTATCAGTCTTTGGGTTCTTATCCTCTCAATCTCCTTCCTTCGTGCTTCAGCTTTCTTTCTCTCGTAATCTGCTACCACACTGAACTGAACCAGTGTACCCCTTCCTCATTTATATCTTCCTCCCAAACAGTCACTTCTTGCTCCGCCCACTTTTCCCCTTTCACCTCCTCTGCTAGAGGAGGAGCCTTTTCCTTTGATTCTATTTCTCCTGCCTCTGTTTGAAGTGTCACCTCCTCGTCCTTTTGTTCTGCCCTGTTTTTCTCTTCTCCTCCTCCTCCTCTAGCCTCCATTATTACGGATGGCTCACTTGTCCTTTTGTTCTGCCCTGTTTTTCTCTTCTTCTTCTCCTCTTCCTCCTATAGCTTCTATGATTACGGATGGCTCACTTACACACTCTTCTCCTTCACAACAGTATAAATATCTGAAATTTTGGACAGCTTATTTACACAGCTGACAAAATGGAATACAGTGCACGAAAGCTCATGTTTTAATACATTTGTTAGTATCTAAGGTGCTGCAGGATTCTTTGTTATTTTTGCTGCGGCAGAGCACAGCTACCCTTTGGAAATTGCTTTAATGTCTTATTTTTGCTTAACTGTTTGATTTTAAAATAATCTTCTCTGTGTTTATAAACTAGTGAGGTCTAGGGTTCAGAAACCATTCTTCCAAAATTTTCTCAATAGTCATAGGAATCTTTGTGTTTTGCAATTAGAGCACGGATTCTAGGATTGTGGAAATCAGTGAAGTTAGCCAGATATCTCAGTGAGTTGGAGCACCTGGCTTACAGAGCCACAAGTTGTGAGTTTTATTCCCAACTGTGCCTGATTGGACCCTGCCTTGTAAGAGAAGATCTAGCATGTGTGGCCTTGGGCAAGCTACACTATCCCAGAACTCCCCAGAAAAGTGGGAATAATAAACTACTTCTGAGTATATCCAGGAAATCCTGGAAAGAGCCGCCATCACTAAGAATAGGCTTGGTAGAATGTAATTATTAATTAGAAATGGATTTAAGTATTGTAACATTGATATACGCACAATATGTGTTGATATTAAAAAGTAAATTTATTAATGTGAAAGTTAATTCAACAATTGTTTCTCTCTATGTAATATAATCGGTGGCAGAACAAAGTTATGTTTTTCACTGTAGTGCTTGGCATAACATGTTTATTGTTATGAAAGTGTGCACAGAAAAAGGCAAATGTGAGTGGGTATTATTATATTTCCCTTTCATTGCTCACAAGAAGAAATATAAAGTTTAATTCAAATATAGGAAACTGTAGTTTATAAAAAAACTATAGTTATCAACAGAATCCTGATTCAATAAAATATATGTAAAAACACAGCCTTTCTATATTCAGGTAAACTGGGAAACTCTAGTTTGCTATCATCAATAAAGAATGGCTTGTTTTCCCCTTATGTGTGGAAGATGAGGAGTATAAGACACCATGGCTAGCCAAAACATATTCATGGATCAGTAACTCATACATTTCAGCTCTGGTGAATGGAATATATTATGGAAATGTAAACTTACATACTACATCTCTGCACACTGATTTTTAAATGCCCTTTCTTCCCCCCTCCTACTTGCTCTGTTTTCTAACTCAGCTGTGAGGATTAAATTTAAGATATTTCCAGACTGATAAAGGAAAGGATTTCAGAAAAATGGAAATCCCTCTAAGGCCCACAAACAAGTACTCTTTTTTTGTAACAAAAGGATTAGAAGAGATACATTGCTGCCCACTGCTTTGTTGTTTTAGGGCAAAGTTCAGTGTCATTCAAAGGCAATGATAAACAAGCATACTGTAACTGATTCTGCAGATAGTTAATTGTGTTTAAACAAGAGCACTATCTGTAGTTTTTTCTTAGGAGTGGGAACAGTGATTCAAGCTGCTAATTATAGAACATGCCTTGCACTAAATCCAATTTGTACCTGAGGTGTCACTACTATAGGATCCAAGTTATGGATATATTATTTCACTTTTTAAAAATGAAAATTTAAATTTAATATTAAAAATTTACATGATGTCTTAGAAATAGAGCACATCAATTATCAAATAAATAGGCGTACATGAATTCACATAAATAATGCTGTCATTTTGACTGACTATAATAATAAACATTTATGAATTATTTGTTAAACCTTGATTGTACTCCACAAACTCCTAGTTTTGGAGTAGTTATGTTAGGCTTTAAGTTTCAACGGACACCATATGTCCAGTCTAAACAAAAGACTTAAAAGATAGTTTTATTTCGCTGGTGGTTAACAGTGGTTGTGCATATCTGCTCTTTAAAAAAGAAGTGTTAAACAAGTTTGGAAGTGTTTAATTCATAGGAATTGATAGCTTTAATTTCCTTGAATTTTATTTTTCATTACATCACCCATCCCAAGTGTATTTTTCTGTACAGTACTTGTTTACATGTTGCTTAAATATATCCTTTTTCCCCAGGGCAAAATCTTTGGAATTGCTTTTGATGAATTGCCTCATCAGATTGTATCTGAATATGGAAGTATACCTTGGTAAGTAAAGCTTGCTACTTAGTTAATGCTATAAATAATGACATGCCATATTTAATTATAGATCATGGGCCACCAATCGAGTAGCGTACTAGCTACAGACTGACATTCCCACTGTGCTCCAGGGAGAAGAGATAACATTGGGCAAGCTGCAGAGTCCCAGATAAAGATAGTGGGAAATTACCCTATAACTAAAAAATAAAAATAAAAAACTGGTTAGAGTTACCTTAAGTGAGAATTGACTTAACAGTATGTAATTATTGTTGTAATTTCACTTTGGGAGTAATACACAGTAAACATGAGAGAGAAGAATGCTTCATATGCACACACATGAACAATGATTGGGGTGTGGAAAGGGAAGTATTTTTTTTACTAGGGATGAGGTAACTGCAATACCTTCTATTGTTGAAAACATGAGAAAACTGTTGTGATAGAGTGAAGGATCTGTGACTTTCTATTTACAGTGGTGCTTCGCTAGACGATGATAATCCGTTCCAATGAAATCGCTGTTTAGCGAAATCATTGTCTAGTGAAAAGCATTTCTCCATTGGAATGCATTGAAACCTGCTTAATATGTTCCAATGGGGAAGAATCGTTGTTGTCTAGCGAAGATCGGCCATAGGAAAGCCGCTTTGCGAACCGCCAATCAGCTGTTTTTAAATAGCTGTCTTGCGAAGCTTAGATCCTGAAAACACCCATTTTGTGAGCACAGAGGGAGCTGTCAAAATCGTTGTCTAGCGAAAATTGGTTTGCGAAGCAGGGACCAAACATTGTCCAGCGAAATCTTCCCCATAGGAATCACTGTTTTGCGAATCGCTATAGCGATCATAAAAAGTCAATGTCTAGCCATAAAACTGTCATGCGGGGTAAGTGTCTAGCGAGGCACCACTGTATTTATTTGACTTCTATACAGCCTATCTGGCTGTCAAGACCACTCTGGGTGGTTTAAATGTTAAACAAATATAACATCTAAGGACCCATCTCTTCAGGCAGGCTTTTAACAATTATAACTGAATCCCTGAACCCTATTTCAGCAGAAATTTTAATCTTTTATTGCATTTTAAATCATATATTGTTTAATTTATCTTTAATATTTGACTTACTGTATTTTTCCATGTATAAAACTACATTTTTCCCTAAAATAATTAGAGGAAAAATTGAGGGTCATTTTATACACAGTACTATATAATTTTGCAAAGAAAGTGGAGGGGGAAAGCAGGAGTCAGAGCGCTTGGATCCCTGCCTTCCCCCTCCACTTTCTTGCAAAGAAAGAAATTTTGGTTTAGAAAAGTGGGGTGCATCTTATACATGGAAAAATACGGTATTGTGTTTTTAAATTGTGTAATTTTTATGTTGTGAGCTGCTTTGGGTCGGTCCATTTTTGGGAGAAATGCAGCATATTAGTAATAATAAAGACAACAACAGCAATTTAAAACATTAAACATAATACAGTGGTGCCTCGCATAGCGACGATAATCAGTGCAGCAAAAATCGCTGCAAAGCGATTTCATCGCTATGCGATATTAAAAAGCCCATAGGAATGCATTGAAACCCCTTCAATGCGTTCCTATGGGCTTCAGACTCACGTTTAAGCGAAAATCCTCCACACGGTGGCCATTTTCGCTGCCCGGTAAGCAAGGAATCCGTCCCAGAAAACAGCAGGCGGCCATTTTTTTTACCTGGCAGCCATTTTGGAACCGCCAATCAGCTGTTAAAAAATCAGCGCTTTGCGATGATCGGTAAGCGAAACAGAGTACCAATCATCGCAAAGTAATATTTCCTCATAGGAACATCGCAAAAGCGATTGCAAAAAGTTAATCGCTATGCAATTTCGTTGTTAAACGGGGTGCCTGTTAAGCGAGGCACCACTGTAATTATAAAATCAAAATTGGATACTGGAAGTGCAATGGTGGAAAATGTATAGAAGTGCACTAATTTTGCAATAATGAGATACTGAGAAGATAGCTTAGTGGAAAAAAAACATTTTGCAAAGTCATCAGGAAGAAAGGAGAAAAGGCTGTATGATGTAGTCCTTTGAGAAGTTGAATACTTACTTTGCTGCCCAGATGTTGAGGGTGAAAGTTTTCAAAGCTTACCTTTCACAATATGGCAATCACAATAGCTCATGGAGAGTGTTATTTCATAATAATGATCATTCGTGTGTAGGCATCCTTCAGTCTCGAGAGACTATGGTATCGTGCTCTGTATGGAGGTCTTGGAACAGTGTCTTGTGTGGCTGAGAAGGTCAATTCGAGAGTGACAATCTCTTCCACATTGAAGACAAATACAATCTGTCCCCTGTCCAGCTCCCTGGTTTTGTTTGTTTCGGGACTGCCTCTTTGCCTCGGTCTGCTGTACAAGTGTACATTCTGTGGTCAAAATAATCTTCCATAGTTATACAAGTAGTGTAACTTTTGGTGGGAAATGACTCCAAATTAAGAAATCACAGTAGACATTATAAGTTTCATCCTGAATCACACAGGGCAGATAATGACTAAAATCCTATTGCTCTGGAATCAGTGGGGATTTGTGAAGTCTATTCTGTAAGTCCTATTGATTCAAATGGGCCTACTCTAATTGCAACTTTATCTATAGTATTTTGCGCGTGTAACTTTTGGTGGGAAATGACTCCAAATTAAGAAATCACAGTAGACATTATAAGTTTCATCCTGAATCACACAGGGCAGATAATGACTAAAATCCTATTGCTCTGGAATCAGTGGGGATTTGTGAAGTCTATTCTGTAAGTCCTATTGATTCAAATGGGCCTACTCTAATTGCAACTTTATCTACAGTATTTTGTGCCTAGAGTAGGCCCATTTGAATCAGTGGAACTCACAAAGGAGTTAACTCACTAAATCCCCACTGATTACACTAGCATGCTCTAGTGTGACTTACTATGGGATTTGAGCTGTTGTCTATTCCAATTTCTTAACTTAAGACAAATTGACAAGAGGATTTGGCACATAATGTAAGAGAAATGTTTTTTTCACAGATGGGTTCTTAATGCTAAATACTATAGTGCCTTTTATTTTTTCTTTTAGTTTTTTAGTTGAGGCCTGTGATTACCTGGAACAACACATGCATACTGAAGGACTTTTCAGAAAGTCTGGATCATTTGTTCGCTTGAAAACTTTAAAGGTATATAGTACTTTCATTCTTCTTCCCGTGTTTACTTTTTTAAGCATTTTCATACAATATCATCCAGAAATGATAAAAATAAAGTCTGTGGCACTAGTGCACTGAAACAAAGTGTTCATATAGTCTGCAGAGACAGGCCCTTGACTATTGCAGCTGATTTCATGTTCTTTTAAAAGTTTGCATGTTCTTGCCTCAAAATACAGTGGTGCCTCACTTAACGAGCACCCCGTTTAACGATGAATCCGCATAGCGCTGGAGTATTTGCAATCGCAAAAGCGATCACATTGCGATGTTTTAAATGGGGGAAAATCGCTTTGCAATGATTGTGTGGAAGTGCTTCCCCACAATCATCCCAAAGGCCCCGCCGAAAGAGCCCCGAAGCACAGCTGATGGGCGGGGGGGGGGTTGCAAAGATCGCGAGGAAGCCAGCTTCACAAACCCCCGCCGACTTCAGCGCGCTCTCTCTCTCCCCCCCTCGCAACTCCAGCCTGGGCAGGGAGACCCTTGCCTCAGTCTCCCTGCCCAGGCTGGACCTACAACGGGTGGAGAGAGAGAGAGAGAGCCAAACAGCTGATCGGTGGTTCCAAAATGGCCGCCCGCTGTGTTGCCTCGCTTTAGAGGCACCGAAAATGGCGGCCGGATGGAGGATTTTCGCTTAAAAGTGAGTTTTTCCCCCATAGGAACGCATTAAACGTGTTTTAATGCATTCCTATGGGGTTTTTTGGCCCGCATAGCGATGAATCTGTACAGCGATGATTTTTTTCGGAACGGATTATTGTCGCTATGCGGGGCACCACTGTATGGTGTTTTATTTGTATGTATTCATTTCAGTATGTTTTTCGCTTTGTAGTAAAAAAACCCTTTTTTTTCTCCGTCCTTTACTAGAGTAAATTGGACCAAGGTGAAAACTGCCTGTCTGGTGCACCACCATGTGATGTTGCAGGGCTTCTGAAACAGTTCTTTAGAGAACTGCCTGAACCCATCCTTCCAAGTGAGCTCCAAGAAGCTCTAATCAAAGCCCAACAACTTGGCAATGAAGAGAAGATTTCTGCCACATTACTGCTCTCCTGCCTTATAAATAGCAAAACGATCGATACGCTCAGATATTTTTTCAAGTTTCTAAAAAACGTGTCTCTAAGGTAAGTCAAGAGTATGAATGTTGTAGTTATGGAAAAGGATTACAGTGGTTGTAAGAATTGTGGATGGACAGAGGTATTTTGTAAAACTTGCAACTGGACAATTTCTCATGCCCAACACAAATTTTGGTGGGATTTAGCATATTTCTTTGGATTTGCTTTTAGAAAATGCAACTTTTTGAAAAGTATTAATTTGTGTTATATAAATATGAATTATCTTGCAGTAACTTAAAAGAAACGAAACAAAATGATTTGATTAGAAAGAGGAAGAAAGCACACTGAATATAGTGTAAATCTTAGAGTCAGTTCTTTACTCAGAAATTCTATTGGGATATTTTATTATTTTAAAGCAATACTATGCAATTATCTTGTTTAACACACAGTCAAAAATATTGCAACACTGAAAAGCTATTGATATATTTATTTTCACATGCCCCAAAAGTTTGGTGTCATTATATGCTTTCTAAGGGAAGTCCCAGATCACATTGTGGTGTGGCAGTAGATAGAGTGATGGGCTAGGACTCAGGAGACCTTGGTTCAAATCTTTATTTGGCCATAGAAAGTCATTGAAGGTGTGGAACTGGTAAAAAGAAAAAGTTCTGAAATATCTCACTTGCCTTGTGAGGATCACTTTAAGTCAGTTCCAGCTTGATGGCACATAACACACAATGAATAGTCAGCTGAAAAGTTAATTTCAGTATGAAGTTCCCAGTGTCATTGATCATGTATTGATATATATCTTCCTTATGTAAGTAATCAATATCTACATTTCTGCAAACAATGTGGGAAAATGTAGCAGTAGCAATTTTCAAAAACGTCAATGCCTTTGTGGCACAGATGCAACATTTTCTCCCTCAACAAATCATATATGTTTTTGTCTTCTTGCCTTTTATTTATTTTATTTACCAGGATTTTCATCTTGTGAAAGAGATTTAGAGCAAGTTGTCATAAGTGTAAATATACCAAAAGTAAATATAAACAACCTTCCCGTCTCTGCTCCATCTGTTCATATTCCAGTGTGTCTTGTTTATGGAACTACCTCCTTAGTTTTGAAACAAACTCTCCTTCCAAGTTTATGCTTTGTGTTGCATTTCTAACAATAAACCAGAAACATAGATTATACTCCCTGTTTACCGAACCACCTAGAAGATTTCATGACACATTTCACATATATGTGTAGACCAGCACCGAAGAGAACTTTCAAAACTCTTTTTCTAATCTGTGTTTGATAAGCCAGTGTTTCCACAGTTGCCTGGAGTATTGTGGCATTTAAATGCAGTCCCTTTCTCTGTTTCGGAAAGGAGCTTTTCTTGCCCTTGTTCCTCTGCCCAGGATTACAATAGACCTAAGTGAAATAGAATCTTCTGCTAAACTGGTTGCAAAAAGATTAGACAATAGCTGCACTGGCTACATTGTGAACAAAAGGTCTTCAAGTATAGTGGTAATCAGAATTTTGACCAATGGACATTGTAGGTGGATTCATCAAAAATCAGCAGTTAAAACCTCACACACACAAAATGAAACTTCTGACAGCATTCTGTTTTTGGATTCCCTCTTCCCACAGATCGGCTGAGAACAAAATGGACAGTAATAATCTGGCAGTAATTTTTGCTCCAAACCTCTTGCAGTCGAGTGAGACTGATAAAATATCAGCTCATACAGAGAGGAAACTTCGTTTGCAGGCAGCAGTTCTGCAGACATTTATTGATCATGCAGAAGATCTAGGTACGGTTATGATAACCAACTAACATTGGGAGTCTTATGTACTTATATCATTGTTAGGTAGTTGTGTCTGAGTGAATAATGTTCATATCTGTTCTTTAATTCAGGGACTTTACCAAGGTTTATCCTGGAAAAGATACCAGCTATGCTTGGCATTGATGATCCTGCCTCTACGCCTTCATTGCTAAATTGTAGAGAAAATGAAGTTGAAACACCAGGTGAACAGACAAGGAAGAGGAGCCAGAGCATTGGAGGTAAGTCTGCATGGTCTCCTTTTTCAGTTTCATCATTATCAAACTGCTTTTGTTTTTGGTCTTAAAGCATGGCTCAGATCTGACCCACTACGGGAAAACAGCTATATCATATTTTATAAATTGCATAACTGAAAACAAAATAGGTGTGTTTATTATAAACATAAATCATAGGACTGTTTGATTTTAACAAGTTGTGTTTTGTATATGTGCTTGAGTCTAGGTGACATGTTATCTAAATAGTGATGTATAATTAGACAAATTCACGGTGTGGTCTGCTTTAGCAGGACAGTGCAGCCACCTAGATGGAGGCGGGGTATAAATTAAATAAATAATAATAATAATGGACTCTTATCTTTTTTTGAAAAATGTAGCTCTGTTCAGACATTCTAAACAGGAATAAAAATGTGTGAGGAAGGCAAGTGAGAATGAGTGCTAGCCCCACTCTCTTCATGCATGGAGGACAGCTTGCTGAAGGAGAGTCTCCTCTGTCTGGAGAGTGACCCATGAACTTTGGAGTCTAGTATTCCAAAGACTGTGTTGCTTCTTCTACAGTTTTCAAAAAACAAAAAGAGGGCTTGCTGAAGGATACCAGGGGCTTAGCAGTTCTAGAGTGAGGGCTTGTTTGGATGTTAGAGAAAACTCTGGCTTAGCAGAAGCGAGCAATATGCTGGTGACTGCTCCTGCTTGCCTCATCCCACCAATGTGAGCAGCTGTAAAAGAAATCACAGATCATCTATGGATTTTGTTGCTGTGCCTGATTTGGAGATTTTGGTTGGTATGTTTCCAAACATGCCAGAATCCTAAGCCTGGACCAAGCCATGGTGTATGACGCTGTCTTGTTTGTTAAGGTAAGCCAGAATAATTGGTCTGGGTATTATGGCAAATAAGTGAAAGGTCTGTGGTTTGTTTAGCCACATGACGGGAACTCTAGACTATAAACCTGACCTGAGCTTCCCAAGTCAGCTGAGCCCTCCTCCCTTACAAAGGATATGGGGCACATTGGTGCTTTGCCTTGCCTGCTAGCAGAAATGTGCCAACCAGGTGATTTAGCCTGATAGTTTACATTTCTCCAGTCAGGCCTGAACACTTAAACAACTAGCTAAAGGCTTTTATGAAGTGTGTCACTGTATCGTTTCCCATCATATGTGTACTGTAAACGAGCAAGCAGGGGCGTGGGCTGATGGGCTTATGCAAACCTTACACATAGGATCACCAGAGCACCAGCTGAGAGTTCTTTAGCTGGAACAGTTATTTTCTAAGCATCATCCAGGTCACTTTGTTCAAATGAAGAAAAAGTTTGACAAGTTGGTTTCAGAGATGCAGAAATGGATGTTATGTGAAGAATCAATTAGTCATCCTTTCTAGAATAAAAATCTGTTTCTCTATTCAGAGTGGAACACATTAAGTTCCTATTAAACGATTTGTTGCCTGGTATGTCTTCAATTTCAGATATTGTTAGTGGAGCTCTGAATAAACTTAAATCTAACAGAACACCCTCCACTACACCTCAGAGAGACAGAAATGGTAGGTATAGTGCATTTGCATGGAGCACTTTATACCATGTCCTCAAGATGTGGAGATAACTATCAAAGCAAGTCTGTGATCCTGACTTGTTTGCTGGATTGACAGTAAAGGATTAAGTTCTAAAGCTAAACGCTGGGCTGCTGTTGGTTGCTGCAAAAGCTTGGGCGCTGTTTATATAGGACTCACTAGGCCATACAGTATTAACTAATAAAGAAGCTATCATAACTTGGTTATGTGCTGCTTTAGACACTTTGATGTTTTTATCCTTTAATAAATTTCTCAGTGAACCTTCTTTTGTATTGCAAACCATGCATGTTTTTTTGGGGGGTGGGTTTTTGTTGTTGTTGTTTTGTTTTGTACTTTAGTTATCCATGTAGTAAGCAATAGGGAAGGAAACAGGGAAAAACTGGCAATTACTGGACTGTTCGGGTGTTAACACAGTTTATGTGTATTTACTTAGAAATGAACTCATCAAAGTCACTAGTTTACTAGCAAGTATGTTTAGAATAACAGTGTAACCGTTCAAACCACATGTTTACTGTGGATTAGTGAGGCTTTTTTTAAAAAAAGTGCGTACAGTGGTGCCCCGCATAGCAACATTAATCCGTTCTGGATTAATCGTTGCTATCCGGAAACATCACAATGCGGGTGGGAAAACCCCATAGAAACGGGCCCCAGACTCACTGTTATGCAAAGATCCTCCATAGCGCTGCCATTTTCGCGCCCTCAGTAAGCGAGGAAATTGCGCGAAAATGGTTGCGGTGGCCATTTTGGAACCGCCGATCAGCTGGCCGAAAATGGGGCCGGCAGGAGGGCAGGGGAAGGCTCCCCCGCCCTCCTCCCGAGTGCACCCCGGCTTTTTTGGTGGGCTGACCGGCGGGAGCTTTGGAAGGGAAAATGGGGCCTATGGGGAAAAATCTCAAAATCGCAAAATCTTCGCTATGCAGATTCGTCATTAAACGGGGCGCCCGTTAAGCAAGGCACCACTGTATAGAATTAAAGCCTTACTCTAGCTGTCTTATAGCTGTTGCAGTATTATACTATTTTACTCAAAATATCAACCATTTTATCAGAAATGCATTGTGAACTCAGATTTTAAGCCTAAAACCATCATGCTGCTAGCAAAGGAAAACTCTGCAGTAGTATAGTTCAGTTGAGATTTTCCTGCTGTGCTAATAGATTGCTGGCTACTGGACACTTTTCCTATCCGTTGCTTACATAACCTTCATTGTTCGTTCATACGTGCCAAAAAACAGCAGAACATGTTTGTCTATGTTTGCTTTCTAAAAAGAAAAAAACAGACACTGGGCAGAATCCTCGTGCATAGCTACATGGATGTAATTTGATGTTATACTGTAACTGCAGCAGCTAAAAAGTGCCACAGCTTTTGTAGCAACTGCACTGGTGAAAGTGCTTTCATGAAGCATTTTCACTGGTGCATTACACAACAGTGGCAGTGGAATCCTGCAACCCATTACACAGTTCAATTGAACAATTCCATTGCCAGGTATAACTTTATGCAACACCTACACAAACAGGTTTTTGACCACTGCTTTAATACTACACAGATTCAAAACTGCATTAGATTCCCTTTTGTAAATAGTTTAGAAATAGGTTTCTATGTGTGCTGTGCTAGCTGCAGCATTCAAGCTAGTGGAGTGATGTATGTAATTCTTTGTGGCTTCTGTGAATGCACACAAATGGGTTGCTCTGCACCTGCGCTGACCCTCTCAGAAGATTCTAGAGCTAAAAGTAACAATTTTAGTGGGATGTTCCCCGCAGAGCACATGCTCCACCCACCCGATTCCCCTAAGTTCCTTTTTTCCACCGAGCTATTGGGACCCCTGGAAGAAAAGAGCCTTTTTTTCTCTTCAAAGCAATTCATTTGGCTACTGTTTCCTACTTTAATTACTTCTAAATTGATATCTTCCTATTTTTCAGTCATCTAATCATCGTTCCCCCAGTGAGTTTGTTTCGATTTTGGCTCTCCCCCCCCAAGATCTTCAACTGCTTTTCCTCTGAATTTTCCCCGCTTATAGCCTGTACAGCTATAAGCTGTATAGAGCACTGAAACCGTGCATTGAGTGCTCTAATAAAATTCCATCTTCTGATGGGCACGAGCACTGCTTGTTTTGTCTTGGAGAGCAGAACCCTACTCACTCCTGCGTGGTCTGTAAAAAATTAACTAGACCAGCACTCAATTTAAGACTTCAATGGTTGAGATCTTACCTCTGGGAAAGGTCTTTAAACCTAGTGATAACATCCATGGACGTGGCGAGATCACCTTCGGTTGAGCGGCAACCCCAACAGCCAGCTCCCGTTCCGTCAACTCCATCCCCTCACACCAAGGAGGGTGATGATGGACCCAAGCATTCGTTGGAACAAAAATCAGCTTCCACCTCAAAATCTTCAGCTTGAACCCATGAACTGTCTAAAAAGAAAAAGGAAAAATCAACTGTTAAAAAGATGAAAAGACCAAAATCTGTCCATCTAGAGCCCTCACAAATCACTTTGCCATCTCCGATTTTATGAGAGTCCTCTCGGGAAGCTCAGGACTTGCCCTCTGAGAGAGGGAAGTCACATCCACTGGTGACTCAAGCTCTCGACAGGTAGCCTTTCACCTAATGTTAGCCAATTTGTGGCTGAGTCTCCATCCAGCCTGGCCTCGGCCCATTCCAGCCCTGCATCAGGGCAGGCAGTCGATACTCAAATGTTGAGCTCAGAATCTCCTCACCGTTCTCCCAGGAGAAACGGAAACGTATTTCACCTCTAAGACAGGGTCCTCCATATGCAGAATAGTTCCCATACCCGAAGTTCCCAAGATACCATCACTTTGACATTGGCAATAGATACCTGTACTTCAACCCATACTTCATGCCACCTCAATATGTTCCCACCCATTTCGAGGATCCAAAGCGTATTCAGTATGCATCACCATCTCAACAAGGAGAACATCTTTCCACTTCATCACAATGTCAACATTATTCCCAGAAATCGACTGCCTCGGCCCCTACCAAATCAACCTCTAAATGCTCGAAGTTGATACCATCTGCAGACCAATATAAACGGCAGGGACAATCTTCTAAAAAACAATCACTGCAAACTACAACAAGACAGTATATCTCAACCTCACAAGAACCTCAGCTTTCCCATTCTTCTCTTCAGAACCATTCATCCTTTAAACATTCCCAACCGCCTACTACTAGAGATCCTTCACCCTCTTCTGTTGAAGTTGAGGAAGTTGATTCGGATTCATCAGTAGAGTCACCTCCCCACCTCCCTACTCTTCCTTCCGAAACCCATGGTAATCATCCCTCAGCTCCTTCTGAAGATTACACATCATATTCTCAATTGGTATCCCGAATGGCAAGAGCACTACAACTACAGATTGAAGAACCTCCTTCTCCTGAGGCTGACCCTATATTTGATGATATCAATCAAGAACGCTCTTCTCTACTTAGTCTAAATTTCATTAAATCAATTTTACAATTAATCAAGGACACTTGGGATAAACCACCGTCTATGATGCAGATATCAAACCGTACAGAAATGTTATACAAAACTCATGGATCAGACATTGAATATTTAGCCAAACATCCCTTTCCAAATTCTATAACTGTCGAGTCCAATCAGTCAAAGGGATGAAACAAATCTTTGGTAACACCAGCAAACAAGGAGGGAAGGGAAGTGGACATTTTGGGCAGGAGGATTTATTCATTGCAGTCTTTCTTATTAAGAAATACCAACTACCACGCAGCGATAGAGGCATACCAGTGCCATCTCTGGAACAGAATTCTTCCTATCCTCGAATCAGCTCCCGAATCAATAAAATCAGAAATGACCAATGTACATGTGGAAGCCATCATGCGAGCAAAGCGACAACAGCGGAAGCAGCATCCAAGATCCTGGTTTCCTCCATATCACTGCACTGTCATGCTTGGTTACGCTCGACAGGAATGACTGACGACATTAAGACGAGGATAGAGACCTTCCATTTGATGAGACCAGTCTCTTTAACCTAAAAACTGATGAGACCATGGAAAACATCCACAAGGTATGCAAGACTGCTAAATCTTATATCTATCAGCAATCTTTTAAATTCCAAAGACCACAGTACAGACAGAACCAATTCCATCCTTAACCATATCAACAACAATACCAAAGATATCACCCTTATCGACAATACAGACCACAACAATCTGACAGATCCTTTCAGGGTCCACCTCCACTAATGTCCTGCTTTTGAAACCAGAACCAGAACAAAAGGGTTCACCAATGCCAGCCCTTTTGTAAAACCCAGAAAAAAGGGTAAGCCATATCAACAATATGCTTAAATCCTATTTACTAAGTAACCTTGTTAATTACCAATTTGAAACTAGACTAAGGCCATTTTTCCGCTATTGGCAGAATATCACCAATGACAAATGGGTCCTTTTTATTATTACATATGGTTCTTTTATTGAATTTGACACCCTTCTACCCTTGGGGATAATCAAATCCATTTCTGTTTGGTTTTCCACAACAAAATCTCAACGTTTCTTCAAAAGCATGCTATAATTAGAGTATCACCACCTGATATGTACAATGGCTTTTATTCAAAGTATTTACTGTCCCGAAGAAAGATGGAGGGTTTCACCCTATCCTCGATTTGAGACACCTCAAAAAAAAATTATTTGACCTCGAAAATTTAGAATGACACTTGAAACTATTATCCCTTTACTTTCACAGGGAGACTGGTTTGTTGTAATAGACTTACAGCAGGGGTGTCAAACTCAAATTCATCGGGGGCCGCATCAGCAGTTTGGTCCCCATCAAAGGGCCGGTTGTATCTGTACTGATGGACGTGCAAGGACCCCATCCGGCTTGGTGGGAAAAGGAAGGAAGAGAAAGTGCCTGTGTGTGTGTGTGTGAGGGAAGGAAGAGAAAGTGCCTGTGTGTGTGTGTGTGAGGGAAGGAAGAGAAAGTGCCTGTGTGTGTGTGTGTGAGGGAAGGAAGAGAAAGTGCCTGTGTGTGTGTGTGTGAGGGAAGGAAGAGAAAGTGCCTGTGTGTGTGTGTGTGAGGGAAGGAAGAGAAAGTGCCTGTGTGTGTGTGTGTGTCTGTGTGTGAGAGAGAGAAAGAGAGAGAGACATTCCCACCCCACTTCCCTTCAACCGCCCTGCAGGGGCGGAAAAGCTGCTGCCAAGGAATGTCGCTCGCTGGCCCCTCACAGAAATCAGGCCTTTTTCGAGCAAGAGAGAGAACGGAACGTCCGGGAAGGGAAGGGAAGCGAGCAACCAGCCAGCCCTCCCGCCCTCCCTCCCTTCTCTCCGCGGCTGGGTCGAACGGCCGCCTCCGACGTTACCCAACTGGGCCGGCACATCGCTCCGCGTTCCCTCTTCTCTCCCTCTCCTCAGGGCCGCGCTGGCCGCTGCCTCCCGCGTCCCCCCAGCATCGCCTCCCTCTGCCTCGGAGCCCGGCCAGGAACTCCCACCGCTCCCCTTCCCTTCCCCTCAGGGGTGACAGAGGCGGCGCGGAGCCCCCTCCTCGCGCGGCCTTGGGAACGGCTCTCGCCTCAGGCTGAGAGCAAGTGAGGAACAGGCATGGGAGGGAGGGAGGGGGAGCAGGGGGCGGACGGAGAGGAAAGGAGTGACAGCGCCACAGCCAATCGGAAGGAGGACGTAGCCTTGTTAACTTGAGCCATTTTTTCAATGAATTTACTCCATGCAGGCACGGAGTAAATTCATTGAAAAAAAGGGGGGGGAGGCTACAAGGCTGGCGGCGGCTCCACGGGCCAGCAGACGAGGTCTGGCGGGCTGGATCTGGCCCGCGGGCCTTGCTTTTGACACCTGTGACTTACAGGATGAATATTTCCATATTTCGATTCATCTTACCCACCAAAAATTTTTCAGGTTTCAATTCGACAACATTGTGTACCAATTCTCTTCCCTACCATTTGGAATTTCTATGGCACCGAGAACTTTTACGAAGTGCGTGGCACCAGTCGCAGTGTATCTCCATCTTCAGGGTATAAACATCTATGTCTACATTGACGACTGGTTGATAGTTGTGACGTCTTACCACGATGCCATGAGAGCTACAACCACCACGCTCTACACACTTCGAAGTCTCAGACTCTAAGTAAACTACACAAAGTCTCATCTAAAACCAATACAAACAGTCAATTACATTGGAGCTCTTAATCGATTCTCTTCAAGCCAGGGCTTTCATCCCTTCAGAAAGAATCACAAAGATAAAGAAGGCAATTCTGCCCTTTCGACCTTGAGCCTCAATATCAGCCCACCATGTCCAGCACCTTCTCAGGCTCATGGCTTCCACGACATCAGTAATCCAGCATGCATGTCTTAAGATGAGGTCTCTCCAATCATGGTGTCTGTCCCTGTTCAATCCAATGACAGACTACCCATCCACAAAACGACTGGTAACACCAGAGTTAGCCAACCAGCTCACCTGGTGGACATTGATGTCAAATCTCCTGAGTGGACGACCCTTCTTGCCTTTCCAGCCAATGGTGCAGGTTACCACTGACGCCAACCCGTCAGGATGGGGAGCCCACTGCCTTCATTACAAAATTCACAGCCTGTGGACAAAATAAGAGCAATTACTCCACATCAACTATCTCGAGCTCTTAGCAGTCATCAGAGCGTTTCATGCTTTCCTCCCAATCATCGAGGGTCAGACTGTACAAATGGCAACTGACAATACAACGGCATTGTATTATGTAAACAAGCAGGGAGGCACACACTCTTTATCCGTTCTGTACCTAGTCATTGATCTTTGGGAATGGTGTTCCCAACACCACACTTTTCCCATAGCAGTACGCATCTCCACAGACAAGAATTATTTGGCAGACCACCTCAGCCGCATGACTCGAGAATGCATGAATGGCCTTTCAGTGGTACCATCTTCCACCAAATGTGCCGTCAGTGGGGAATACCAGTCATCGATGTCTTTGCTTCCAAAATGAACAACAAATGTGAGGTCTACTGTTCTCAAGCTGGAGCAGACAAGAACTCTATTGGGGATGCGTTCATGACAGATTGGAACAGCACATTACCTGTTTCTGCTGATGCCACTCATTCAACGAACAATCATATGAATTCGGCATTTCCAATTGAACCTGATCCTCATAGCTCCCTGGTGGCCGAGACAGCCGTGGTTCACCCACCTCATGCCAATGGAATCATTTCGACTCCCTCTGATCCCCGACCTCCTGACACAGAGTGAGGGGATGGTCTACCATCTGGACCTCCCACAGTTGAATTTGACAGCGTGGAGGATACCCCCACATTGAAACGAGTCTTGGATTGAACTTGAAAGCCATCGACCCAGATCCTCTATGCTAACAAATGGAAAGCTTTTGTCAATTACACCAAATCATATAACTTACTTGCAACACCTGTTTCATTAAGGACATTACTTACCTTTTTACTCCATCTTTTTGAATTTGGACTCTCATTCCATGTTAAAGGTTTATGTATCAGCCATAGTTGCCCATCAGCCAGATAACTCTAGTTCACCAAAACTTTTATCTCACCCTACGGTTAAGAAGTTTCTTAAAGGACTCAGCAACATCCGTCCACCGCGCCAACATATCATTTCACAGTGGTCACTGCAAATCGTTCTAAATGTGCTTAGGCGCCCACCATTTGACCTATGGTCTCTTCAGACCTTAAGCTGCTTTCTTTAAAAATATATTTCCTGATGGCTATAATATCTGCCAAGAGAGCCAGCTGCTGCCCTCCGCTCTGATCCACCTTTTATCAAATTTCACCCAGATAAAGTGACTTTATATTTTGATGTCTCCTTCTTACCTAAGATTGTGTCAGAATTTCATCTTAATCAACCAATTGTATTACCATTGTTCTTTAAATCACCATCATCTCCTCTAGAGCATATGCTTCATATGCTCGACATAAGCCACTCTTTGGCATTCTATATTGACAGAACCGAGACTTTCAGAACAACTAACAAGCTTTTCATATGCTTCCATTGTTTTCACAAGGGAGGTCCAGCCTCACCGCAATCCATTTCCAGATGGATAGTCCAGACCATATCTCTGGCTTATGAACTGTCAGGCAAACCACCTCCTGATCATCTGAAAACACATTCCACTAGAGCACTGTCAACATCTACTGCCTTCCAGCGTGGAATCAAGATTCCTAACATCTGTTGTGCTGCAACATGATCTACCCCATCAACCTTTGTTAAACACTACCACCTAGATGTGAAAGCACACAATGATGCTGTGTTTGACAAAGCTGTGTTGGCATCCTTCCTACCGTGACATCCCACCATCTGGTAAGTGAAGCTTGCTTGTCACCCATTTGTGTGCATTCGCAGAGGCCACGAAGAAGAAAAAGAGGTTACCTACCTGTAACCATAATTCTTCTAGTGGTCCTCTGTGAAATCACACATCCCACCCATCTTCTCCTCTGTCCGTCACGGGTTATAGTAAATGATTCTTCTGCCTTGCGGACAAATTTTGGGAACTGAGGGGAATCTTGGGTGGGCGGATCATGTGCTCTGGGGGGAACATCCCACTGAAATTGTTACTTTTAGCTCTAGAATCTTCCAAGCAGTTCAGCACAGGCACAGAACAACTTGTTTGTGTGAATTCACAGAGGACCACTAGAAGAACTATGGTTTCAGGTAGGTAACCTCTTATTTCCCCCCAAAAAGGTATACCTTCAATATTTTACACTGGGTTGTTTTTTTTTTGAAGTTGTTGTAGTTTATGCTTTTTGTATCTGAAAATTTCCTGCCTTTATTTTTTGCAAGCATATCAGATACTAATACAGTTAAGTAACTGTACCCAGATCTCTTACTCAGCTCAACATAAAGTTCTCTGATAGCAGAGCATCTATGGCCAAGCAAGTATCTCACCCATAAAAATAAGTAGGCTCACCATAACATTCTGCCTATTGTACGTAGTATTTCTTTATTAGCCAGTAATAAATGGCATCTGAATTGCATGGGAAACGTCAATCTTTTTACTAACTTATACCCTCCTTTAACATCTGCCGCTTTTGGTGATTTCACAAATCAATGTATTTGAATATCAGCCATGCTCTAACTACTGCAGCAGATATGAAGCTTGCTTGTTCAAATATACAACAATTATATTTTGTGAATTTATCTGCCATTCTAAGGATTTTATTGTAGCTCTCACTTTCTTTACAGTCTTTCCATCAATGACTCCAGTGAATGTTACACCAAGTTTTAAGCGTAAATATGCTGCCGATTCCTGTCAAGGCTTCTCTAGCAAGAAAAGGAGATCTATCAGACATAACATGGGTCTTGAATTGCTACCAAGTAGCCTTTTTAATATTAGCTCAACACCTGGATCAGGTAGGGTGAATATTATTTATAATCTCTCCAGCTCAATTGGTATAGTTTTTCTGTCTTCTTCTCACAATGTTTGTCAAGTTGCAGTGCAGTAGCTGTAACGACAGAATAAAGTCTGTATTTGTAATCCTCTTGTTTTACAGCTCAATCTGAGACAAGCCCTAGTATCTCACTTGAGCATTCACTATCTACCTCAGTCACTAGTGAAAAATACCTGCCTAGGATAGGAAGTCGAAGAAGCCAAAGGATTGCCAACAAAAAAGTACAGAGGTATGTCTGCCAAAATGTTGGTGTTATTGGAACAGAAGGGGAAATGTTTCATGTTTGTTTTCTGATACCTAAACAAACATTGTAATCTTCAAAATGGCTGCATGAAATCCCATGATTAAACTGCATCTTTTGGTTTCAGTTCTTTGAAAACCAGAGCTGATATTTTGGTTCCCATATTACTGTTTTTCATTTATTCTATGTTTGAGCTATTTGTAAACATTCATTTAGTATGACAAAGCATGCAGGAATGTCCTATTCATCCTTAGGAGGCTGACTCTCATCCTGTTTAAGCTACCTACTTGTAACATTGAAGTATCAGAGTTTCCGAACAATATTCCTCAGCTTATTTCTGATTGCTTTCAGGGTTGAATCTGGGAAAATGGGTTGTTTTTCTCCTAAAATTAGCCGAAAAGAAATGATGCGCAAGTCGCTGCGATTAAAATTTATTCTGGGAAGGAGCAGCAAAGAGGTATGATATGCATTTCTTGCAACCATATTTCACTCCATTGTGAAGTAGCTATTTTGAGTCCTATCAAGTTTCCTGTTTCTCAATTTTAGTATTCTATGGTTCAAACAGCATAAATTACCTGTAGAAAATATCTGATATTGGCGGGGTGGGGTGGGGAAAAGAAAGAACAGCTTGGCTCTCCTGCTTTCTAGTAATCCTGTTTCATTTGTAATCCCTTGGCTATAAAATTCTTTTACAGGATGTTCTTTGGGGACTATTAACTGTTACTGGGGAATTGAAAAGATAATCTCTATATAACAGAGGACACGTGAAAAACATTCCAAAGCCTAACATTTTACGTTAACTACATAAAGCTGTCTGCTACTGCCTTGTCTTCCTAGTTTCATCCTCTCTTGAGTCTTATTGCTTCTTAGGTTCTAGTAACTGACGCCTGACAGTAATTCCTGTTCTACAGGCCCTTGGCCTTGATTCTTTATCACCAGCTTCTTTTCCAGCTCTGGCCTACTATCACCTCATAAAGTGCCTCTCAAATATCTGTGGATTGGGCTGCTGCTATCACTCCTGGCATAAATTCCCAAACTGTTTCCAGTTCTTCCTAGTACAAATATTTTTTTTTAAACTTCAAAGACAGAAAATCATTTATGATGTCAACACAAAACTTTTAACTGCTCTTTCTTTTTTAATTTCAAAAGAATACTGTAGTGGAGAATCTGGTTAGCAAGAGATCTGAGCATATTGGTCGTCGTCTTGCAAGCCAGCAAGATACAGAAAGTGGAGTGGATTCTGTAAAGGCAGTTGCATTATTGAGCCCATGTATTGGTGAATCTGTAATAAGGAAAGGTAAATATAAGTTCTTAGTGAATGAGTCTAAAGCTGCTTTCTGTATTTGATTCACAACATAGGCCAGAGTCCTTTGTTGGGGGGGGAGGGGTGAGAATGAGCACAATGATAATCATGCAAGTAGTTTCCATCTTTGTACTTGCCTGGCAGGTCATCTATCACAACACTTACACATTTGTTTAGGAATCAGTCACATGAAGAAAAGCCTGCCAAAGGGAGGGAACTCTTGGTTACCATTGTGCATGAGGTTTTTTCCAACAGGATTACTACTCATGAAGAGAAGATATAGATTCGTAATTGGATTGAGATAGTCAGCCCCTTTAGAAATGTATAAAAAGTTAGTGAGTTAGTGAGTCACATAGTACAGTCCAATTTTATCTTACGTACTTTGTCTCGCTTTCAGACTTCCCCCCCCTTGAGTTCATAAGAAAGCAAAAGTAGGATAAATCAGCAGTGATTGCCTCATACTATGCGTATCTAGAAAAATAATGTGTACCAAAATAATGTGTAATGTGAACAGATTGTCCTGCTCAATATTATTTTCCATAATTGTTTTATTTTACACTTATACTATTTTTCCTTTTAAGCCATCCTTAGAGTATGGTTGAAGAATGGAATAAAAATCTATATAGCCAGAAAAAGATTTGTCACGTGGTCCTTGAAGGTTAACCACGGTGCCTCTCTGTTTGATTGGCATTTTTTAAAAAAAATTTTCATGCCACTAATTATTTTCATTTCAGCACTGATAAGCTATTCTCATGAAACTGTCTGCTTTCTGCCGCCACGGCATGCAGTCACCTTTAGGCCAAAATCCTTCCTGGCTGCCTGACCTTAGGAGAGAACAGGCAGGGCTGGTCTCAGGCTCATTACAAATGTGTTCTGAAGGACTGCAAAATGAGCAGGCTTGAGAAGACTTATATCTTCCGCTATGGAGCCCTACTGTCTTTTCCTGTGGGCCAACAGCAGCATGCTATGGGTATACTTTCTCTTTTCCAGGTGAAACAGGCTCTTAGGAGGCAGGGTGGGGCAGTCTACAGGTTCATGCACATGTACGTATTTCAGATTGCAAGTGATTATTCCTTGGCCCCATCTGTCTTTTGAGGTGTAAAGAAATTAACCCAACAAGCTGTCTTAATTGAGTTCCTTTTTAGTACAGTGGTGCCTCGCTTAACGATGTCAATTGGTTCAAAAAAACCCATCGCTATGGGAAAACATCGTTAAGCGAAACACCGTTTCCCATAGGAATGCATTGAAAACCAGTTAATCCGTTCCAATGCAAACAGATTACCGTCCTTAAGCGAAAATCCCCATAGGAAATATCACTAAGTGAAACAATGTTTCCCCCATCGGAAAGCTATTGAAATACGTTGAAGCCGACTCAATCCATTTCAATGGCTTTTCGATGTCTGTTTTCACTCACTTTTAAGTGTCTTAAAATGTTTGAAACCTGTTTTAAATGCTTGGAATCGGTAGTGCACCTTGTGAAACCTATGCACACTTAGTTTGGCTTTGTTCTGAGTCTTCGTTAATTTTTGGTGATTTTTTTTCCCCATTTAAATCCATTGAACGGACAGTCCAATGCTTTTCAATGAGGGGAAAACAAAAAATCATCAAAAATTAACAAAGACTCAGAACAAAGCCAAACTAAGTGTGCATAGGTTTCACAAGGTGGACTAACTATTCCAAGCATTTAAAACAGGTTTCAAACATTTTAAGACAGTTTTAAATGAGCAAAAACGGACATCGTTAAGTGAAATTCCCCCATAGAGAACATTGTTAAACGATGCAGAAAATTCCTCAAAGAAACCCATCGCAAAGCGAATACATCGTTAAACGAAGCAATCGCTAAGCGAGGCACCACTGTACTTTGATTTTTATTATTTCAGAAAACTTCCTGTGCATCTTGCTTCCTGCTGCAAACACTGAGATGTTTGCCATCTATCCAGTAGACCTGAAATGCAGCTAGAAAGCCCCAACATAACAGACACCATTGTGTCCCTGTAGGCAAAGAGAGACCAGGATGGTGTGACGGTTCGATCACCTCCCAGTCCCTGGGTGACATTTTATTTCACCTCACATAGTCAACGATGGAGGTGTTTAGAATTAATGGTGGAACTGTGGTATTAATGTTAATTTAACCTGTGAATTATACTTTTGTTGAGATTAAAAACAATATGTTCTTTTTAAGGTCCCCAAAACTTCAGCAAGTCAGAGGAAAACTTGCAAATTGTCAAACACGATAAGCAAGCAAGCTACCGAATATCTTGGACTGGCATCAGTAACACAGAATCTGAGAAGACTAGTAGTAGAGGTACGACATCTATGGCTCATCTTGAAGCAGAAACCTCTTTCTCAGAGCCCAATCTTACATGTAAAGGATCACCAACCATTCTGATTAAGCCTAGGCTCCTAGACAAAAGAACCAAACAGGACTGCAATAACCAACAAGCATCCTTTTGTGAAGATGAAAATAGATTGACCACAGACACATTATTGAAAATTCAGAAAGCATTTTCTGAATCTGGAAGCAATCTTCATAACTTACTTGAAATTGAGTCCTCAAAATCAAACTTAACTAGTGGAACAACATGTCCTTTAGAAGTGAATCCAGTTTTTAAAATGAAAGCTCAGGAAACGTTAAAAATAGAGCAAGAAATTCTGTTTACAAGCCCTGGTGGTGAAGCACACACTGTTGACAAACATCTGTCAAATGAGAATCAAAACAATGTGACAGATGGAATTCTCTTCCAAAATACTGCTGAGGTAGATTCTTCAGCTCGTGATTTAAACAAAGATGTTGGGTCAATGCAGGAGGAGCAACTAATTGCAAGAACGCATCCAATTACCCAGTTAAGTAGTACAAACGCTCTGCAAAAAGAGATATTAGAATCCAAGGATGAATTCACCTCACAAAGAATGATTAAAGATGACAAATTTAAATGCTGTAATTCAGAGCTTAAAGAATGTCTTGAATCAGGCCAGCTTTCCTCTCAATTCTCAGAAGGTGGAGAGATAAACAGCAAATGTTGCATTCACATGGGATCATGTGAGAAATCTAAACCTTCACCTGCAGGAAAGGTTGCTGACCATATACATTGGTTCAACAAACTTTCATTAAATGAACCATGTTCTGCAACTAAAGCCAAGCCCCCACTTAAGTTCCAACGCACCCCTGTACGTCAATCTATAAGGAGAATTAACTCCCTTTTGGAAGCTAATAAACAGTCAATTACTTGTAAACGAACAAAAGCAGACAATGACTGCCCTTTGCTTGTTAAATCTGTAAGTTATGAAACGGCACTGTCCTCCTGTGGCGAAAGAATATCCAAAACATCTACTGTGTCTCAGCTCCCTTTTGAAGCAACATGCAAACAAATGTCTACAAGTGATCAGTTTGATCAAACTTCCAAATCCCATCAACAACTGGCATGTCCTTGTACTGGGACCAGTACAACATTCAAAGAGACAATAACTACTAGTCATTCCAGGGCTGTCCTTGAGGATGTAACTAATCATGAAGCATCAAAAACTGTTGTGAAAATGAAAACAAATCTAAATGTTTCAGTTGGTACACCTGATAAATGTGTTATCAGGAAAACTGGGGAAACAAAGGTTCGCTATAGAGGATCTCCAAGGAACCCAATGGCTACAACAAAATTTCTTCCAGTTGTTAAACCTCTTGACTTATAAGTTTAACAATCCAATACTTCTATAGTCTTGCATCTATGTTTGCATATTTAGGACTGCTTCCTTAGAGATGAGTCCAGAATCTTTTTGTTTTGTTAAGACAAAATAGCTCCTTCTGTATGTATGCTATTTTTGATCTAGCTAAGAATCTCACTGATGTGGGGAGATGATGGTGATTTTCATAGATTTTTCCCTTCCATGGCAGCCCTTTATATCCCTTTGCCTAGAATCTAAATTCAAGGTTTGGGGAAGGTGATGCTGGGGGCTGTAAAATGGAAGGGAAATAGTATGTATGCTCCTTGTTTCCCATTGACGGGAGCATTCGGAGCAGAAATCTGCTCAGGAAATCTTTCCACCAGCATCAAAGAAGCTAGATCCAACCCATCATTTATTGTTTTTCTACGGTTCTTAAATGTATTTCTTTAGAAAAATAAAAGAATTGTTTTAATCCTGCTTTTAAAGCAAGGCTGTATCTAAAATTGTGGTTGAAATTTGACCAAGTAAATTCTGTTAAGGTAGCATTTACTTCATTGCTCTTAATTGAGATTTGTTTTTATATTTTGACTGGACTTTATGAGGGGGAAATGTGCAAGTGCTATGAACTGGACTTAAAAACATTACAAGGAGTTGGTTTCTAGCTGATATTTCCAGAATGTTCATAAGGAAGCACAGTCTTTACTTGAATTGTATAATACTGCTTGGTATTCTGCAACATGGACTTCTTGCAACATTTAAGTGACTATATGCCTGGCACTGGTACTCAAATTCTTTTGGGCAGGGTGGGCATCTTGTGGCCTGTTGTGGATTGCAATGCCCATCAGCCCTAGCCAGCATAACAGTGATGAGCAATGATGCCTGGAGCTGCAATCAACATCTGGAGTGGTCACATTTCACTTTTATGTGCTCTTTGGCAGCAGTTTTTTTGTTTTGTTTTTTATTTTAAAGTAACTAGCAACTTCTGATTAGAGTTGTATTTTTGTTGACTAAATGTCAACCAAATAAAATTTTTGGCATATTTAGCCACCTTTCTAGACAAGCATATAGTTGTAAGTGGATGCTTGCTGAGGTTACTAGCGTAATGTATGGGAGAAAATTCCAGTGTTGCTGGATGTAATAATTTTTTTTTCATATTGACCTTTGAGGATGAGGAAGCACAAATGAAGTTGCAAGTTTGTGTGTGTGTGTGTGTGTGTTTATTGTAGATGATTACAAAAGTATGATTCAAAACAAAATTGCTGATTATGTCACTGAATCAAAGTGTACAAAGCCATACCCATTCTGTTCTTTTGCACAGGTAATGTGATAAGTTTACTGTAGCATTGAAACTGTTCATATTTGTTCGGAGTGTATTTAATTTAAACTTTAATTTGATTTTTCCCTTAGCATTTCTGTGTACTAGGATTTGTGATTAGAGTGTCAAAAATCCATACAGTATTCTAAAAATAATAAAACATTTTTCCTGTATTGTGTAAGATTCTTATTACAATATGGCATTATAAAATGATTATGCTTGCCAAAGTAAGAAATAAAATTATATAGATAGCTGGGTCTCCTACTAGGTAATGCTGAAAAATACCTATTTAATATGAAACTAAAAAAGCGTATACAGTAATTAGTTTTTTTTCCTTAAAGCTGTGGTGGCCTTTGAGAAGCCTAGTTTGATGTTGATACCAGAAAAGGCTCTAGAATAAACAGTCATATGTGACCATTTAGGAAAGACATTTCGGAAATATTATGAAGAAAATATAGGTTTCAAAAACATATGTCACTTTTTTTTTTTAGTCAAAGTTTGGTAGAGGAGGGAATGCTGTAGATGTTGTGTACCTTGATTTCAGCAAGGCTTATGACAATATCCGTTGTGATACCATTGTGGCCAAGCTATTAAAAAGTGGGCCAGATAATAATACCGTTAGTAGATCTGTAACCAGTTGATGGATCACACCTAAAGAATGTTTACCAGTGTTTTCCCATCATTAACAAGAGGGGTGCCAGAGGATTCTGTTTTGGGCCTGTGTGATTGGGTTCATTTAAAAGTTGGGACAGTTCCTCAGTTTTGGCAGGAAATAATGACTGAGTCTTTTTTTGAATGTTTGGAACTTCAATTTTATTAACTTTAGGTGTCTCCACTTTTACTTCAGCTGGATCGAAAAAAGACAATTCACGTAAATGTCCGTAGCTAGACGAGGTTAATTCTTGTAAATTCGGGTAACTCACTGGGGGGCTGGCCCAAATCGCTCTCAATCTGTAGGATTCTGCAGAGGGGCACTTCTCACCACGCATATGGTGTCGAGCCCAGTCCTCTTCCTTTGGAGGCTTGTGTGTCTGATAGGGCTGGATCACTTCCCCCCACATCTTTGTCCCCACGGGAAAACAATCGCCGTCCATTCTTGCGTCTCAAATGTATTTTCTCCTCTTTTCACCTCTGGGTCCGGTAGTAAACCTCCAACCCTTAAGTTAGGGACGTCCTTCAAAAGACCTTGTGTTCTCATATGTGGAATCTATTCCTCCTTTATCTTTCTCCCTCTGCTTTACCATTCCTACTGCCGAATCTTTTCTCCCCTTGATCTTTTACACCTTCCCATATTGACACTTTTAGCTCCTCCTTTCCTCTTCTTCCTTTTTCCTCCTCACTTTTAGCTCCTCCTTTCCTCTTCTTCCTCCACCAGACAGACTTCTTCCTTTTTCCTCCTCTCTTTCCTTTTCTCTATCAATATTTCTCTCTCCTCAGTCATCTCTCCCTCTCTGGTTCCCTTTTTCTCTTTACATGTCTCTATGGGTGAGGACGGCTCACTATCCTCCTTCTGTCCTTCACAGCCTGATACACTACTCAAATGTTTTTATAAATGACCTTGATGAGGGTGTGGAGGGAATGTTTATAAGATTTGCAGGTGGCACCAGATTGGAAGATGTAGCCAAAAGGGATGGGACTTCTTATTACAAATTAAAGAAGAAAACATGAAAAAGGTTCTTCACACAAAATATTGAGTGACGGCAGTTGTTGCCATCATTCCTGCCATGGTTTGCATCCCAAATAACACAAGATCTGTAGCACACATTTCTAGGCCATGTACTCCGGGGATCTTGAAGGGATAACCAGTTAACCACCTGCCTCCAGGGAATTTTCTTCACCCCACAGACCGTATAACTCTGCTGCCACAACTTGTACAAGAACGCTCATAAATTTCAATGCCGGTGCCCCACTCCCGTCTTGTTCCAAATATGACAACAGCCTCAAGTTCACCTACACAGTCTCTCTCCTCAGTTACTCCCTGGTGTTTTGGGGTGCTGACCCTGAATAAGTGCAGCCTTTGCACTGAGCACAAGAGTCAGATGGGACAGAGCACAGATGTGGGTCCAGATTTTAAGCCATCTCAAACATAAACATCAAAGGTTTCCCCCCTGCTTTGCTTGTCCTCAAATTCATCTTCTGCCTGGAGGCGGGGTGGAGGAGAGCATACCCATCCCTTGAAACTTCAGGTGGTGCCCTGAGAGCCTGTGAAGCTCACATTCTTGCTGTGCTTCCTCAGGAGAAGGAGAAGATGCTGGTAGGAGAAGAGATCTGCATGGGGCTGAAAAGGCCACTGGTTAACCTGCCTGGGTTTCCCAGCTGATTGTTGCTGAGGAAGATGGCCCCTCTCGATATTAATAAAAGTTCGGGTGAGAACTGGGTATGTGAGGGGAGAGATGAGACTGAACTAAATGGGATTTCCCGGCTTTAGGGCCTTCTCTCCAGCAAATGCAAGCGAAAAAGCCTATCTGACGTGTATGCCTTCCTTGGCAACCATCCACACACCTGCGGGGGGGGGGGGGGAGGATGTGGCTGAGGCGCTTTCCCAATCCACCGAAGGGAGGCTTCCCTGCACAGCCTTCCTTGCATGCGCGGGCAGCCTCCCTCTCGCTCCGGTGCCCTCCACTAAGCGGGTGACGCCGGCTGCCCCCCCCCTCGCTCTGAGTCGCACACGCCGAGCGCGCGGCCGACAAAAATCTCCGTTTCCGCGGCGGCGCGTGCCTTGTACATCTTCGTGGGGGGGGCGCGCATCTCGGAATAGCCGGTGTGACTGACTGGAGAAGGTAGGCGAAGT